AAAAAAAAAAAAAAAAAAAAAAAAAAAAAAGATTTAGATTTAACTGCGCATAGTCGTGTGGTATAAAATAAATTGGCGTATGATAAAGAAAAAATTTGCACATATATTTTAACAGATGTACTATACAGTCAGTATACAGCAGTACTAATGTGCAAAAACATAACGTTAACATGCCTCACATTCGCGCACTAAGACATATTATTAAAGATCAAGCAGGATGCTTTGAGAATTATTAAATGAAATAATTTTTTTTGTTATTATAAAATTTATCATTTCTTTTTGGTACAGTGATTTTAATAATAATAGTTAATCGGTAAGGGTGCCCATTGTAAGAATTCTAACAGATAATTATAATAATCTTAATGATACTTTTCAACATCTTTGTGATATCAAATTATAAAATCAATATAATATTATTCTAATATCAAAATGTTACCAATTTTAATATCATGAAGATGTTGAAAAGGTATCGTTAAGATTATTATAATTACTGTTGCGATATCTTTAAAAAATCATGATATTATTGTCAGATGCCGAGAACCGTCAGATGACGGCTGGCCTAGTAATGCTGGCCAACTCACTTAAGGCATTATATTGGGCAATATTGGGCCGATAATGTAGGCCGGCGTCATCTGACGCAAATCGGCATCTGACGCACAACATATATATACTTGTCTTTTATTTACAAAAGAAATGTTTGCTCTATGATATTACAAAGTTTATATTGATTTAAAGAAATTACTGTATGTTACCATTATTTACCGTTATTTATACATAAGTCCCATAATTGGTTTAGTTATCCCTGCCATTACACAATTTTTACGCATTTAGGTATAATTATGATCACATAATTGTGTAAACGGTGGAGTAACGCACTAGCACCAATTTTTTTTTTAGCGAACGTAAATCCCCTTCTTACAAATTTGGAATAAACTTATTCCTAATAAAATATAGAATATGAAAATGAGTATAAATAACGAAATCTAAGTAGAATCTGAATATAAATAATTAAAAATTTCTGATAAAGATACAAATTCAGTATATATCAATCATAATAATTGTCTTCCATAGTGTAAAAAATGATTTCTCGTTACATAATTGAAGGATGGACCGTGGAAATTATCCTTCGCGTTACATAACTCGCAAGTGTTTACGTGATCTACGTGTGATACATATTCAAAAAAAAAGGAAATAAAATTGTCGATTGTGACAGGTACAAACAAATTTTGCTAGTTCAGTATGGTAAATAGTCCTTCGCTAACGCTTCGGACAATTATTTCTTCATCATTAAGATATAAAGTAAGATTAGATGAATTAATATTAATGGGTTTTGATAAATTACTAAATGTGAATGCTCTAGTATGTATTGAGTTTGCAATTTAAATAACGTGAGTTATCATTTGATATTAACAGTTAAATCATTTTTATTGGCCAATTATATAAACTATAAATTTCGGAATCACAATTTATTGACCCGGCTAGGATAAGTAAACCATTTTTACCACTTTGTTATCAAAAAAATTCTTCTATCATATTAAAAAAGTTTTTAATGTTTTTTTATTAAAACTTCTTTAATACACTAACAAATATATACAGTATATATATAATGATTTAATAAAAAGATATAAAATAATTTAATAAAAAAATATGAAAAATATATGATAATTTAATATATACTATATATTCCTAAAACTAGACTATATATAATGTTCAATAAATTCTAAATTATGTGTCTTAATAAATACTTAAGTTGCTCGTTTCAATTCATTTGTGAATTGTACTGTAATCCATCAGGTTGATTCTAGTCTGTTGTTAAATTATTTAATTCTTTTTTTTCTTGTTTCAATTCTGATTTCAATTCATTCAAATTCTTTCTTAATGAATTTATATCTTCTGCCATCATGCTAGAATTCAATTGAGTTCTAGCTCCTTCTTGGGAATTAGTAGCAAATCTAAAAATATTGTGTCTATCAAGACTAAAAGAATCCAACTTAAGAATATTTTTAATCATAGGACTAATTTTCAAATCTTTATTTTCTTGAACAATATTCTTTAAGGAGTAATACTTTTTGTTCAGCTGTATTAATCCATTATTATATTTTATGAGAATATTTTGAAATTCTTTAGTATGCCTATTAACAACATTTATTTTAGAGATTTTATCTTCCACACTAACCATATCTCTAGTAATTCTAATAGTATTTCTTTCTTTACTAGTATAACAATTTTGTAGCTTTCTAATAGCTTCTTCTCGTAAAGCTAAGAAATCACCCTTGGCTTTCAGAAAATTGTTAACTTGATTGAAAACCAATTTTTTTCTATTGGCATTATAAGAAGCAAGCTGAAGTTCTTGATAATTCCTGTTTGAGTTCATTTCTCTCTTTTTGTTTAGCTTCTTTTTCTTTATGAATATTCTTAGTATTTTCTCCACTAGTTAATTTATTTACTAATTCCTTTTCAACTTCATTTAGTTTTTTTCTTCTATTATTCAGCTTTTTAATATGCTCATAATCAAGACCAATTAATTTTTGTTCTAATTCATTTATTTTATCTTCCTTAATCTGTAAAGCTTGGGTCAATTGCTCTTTGATTTGTTCTTCATTGATCAATTTTTGTTCTAATTGAGCAAGTTCTTTTTCCAACTTGGCTTTCAATTTAATAGTAAGCTTTTGGTCTTATGAGAGACCTTCTAACATATTACGCAATCTCATTTTTTCTTTTTCTATCTGCTCACAATTAACTTGCGATTGACTAAGTTTATTTTCTAATTGCTCTTTTTGTCCAATTAAGCTTTCTTGCTGAAATTTTAATTCTTGAATATTAGCTTCTGTTTGGGCTAATTTTTCTTGCAGATTCATTTTTTCTTGCTCTAACTGATTGATTTGGATTTGAACTTGCCGGTTAGTTAGTTTATTTTATTCCAACTGTTCAGTTAAATTACCAGCTAAGGCTTTCTTTTCATTTTTTTCATTTTGCAGACAAATAATTTGATCCTGTAAAGTATTTTCTTTTTCTGTAAATTCTCTAATTTGTACAGCTGAACTAAGCCTCAAATTTTGATAATTTTGTTCCAATTGAAAATTTTTTTGTTTTAAACTAACTACAGTCTAACCTCGATATACCAATATTCGATATACCGATATACTATTAAAAACTTGTTATACTGATAAAATTTTATTTTCCCACTATATGTGAGGACATATAAATATTGGTATATAACTTTGATATAATGATATTTTCTAAAAATTTCATATATGTCCCGACATATCGTTATATAAAGGTTTGACTGTATGTAATTCCAATTTAATATTTTGGTATGCTAAATACATTTCTTTTAACTCATTTTGAGAACTTTGATAATAAATTTCAGCAACATTTTCTAATATAATAAGTTTCTTCTCAGCATCCTCTTCTTTTTGTTTCGCTTCAAAAATTTTTGATTTTAAATATTCTTCTAGAATTTCATTTAATTTCTCACTAGTGAAACCAAGTATTTGACTTGTATAACATGCTTGTGGATGAGTTTTAGTAATGAGATTTCTATGTCCAATTGGTGCATTTATAAATTTCATAATATTACTTTTTAATTCTTCATCATTAATATCTTTAATCTTCATATTAGAAGGAAGAATAATCCATTTTTCAATAGTATCTAAAATTTCTGATGCAGATGGTCTTTTTGATGGGTTTTTGTTCCAACATTTTTTCATCAAATCTATATAACATTGTGGAATATTTTCAATAATTTCAGAACGTTCACCTTTACAAATACTTGAAGCAAGTTGAATATCGTGTGCTCTATCATTAAATGGTGGAATTCCAGATGTAAATTCCCACATAATTATAGAAAAACTATATATATCACTAGCTGGAGTACAGGGTTTGCCTCTTAAAACTTCAGGTACCACAAATGGTATAACACCATATATATTATTTTTTTTAATAAAGATTTTGCAAATTGATATGACCCTAAATAATCACTAATACAAACATTTTTATATTGATTACATAATATATTACCGTCATGAAGATTACAATGAATGAGACCTTCTTTATGAAGATTATTAAGACCAGCAATAATTTTATACAAACTATATAATCTTTGTTCCCAATTATTTGTTAAATCTGTCAAGCACCCTCTTAAATTACTTTTATTTGCATACTTCATTATTATTATATAATTTGAAGTAAAGCTCTCCATAAGCTGGCTTGGATTAACACAGGTCGAAATATAATATACCGGTCATCAATCGGTTATATAACTGATTGGTACCTTATTGGTAGCTGATCTATTACTGATTTATTCATTCAGATACCAACCGGTCATCAATCAGGCATTTACTTCAATCGGCTACACATCAGTTGTATGACTGATTGGTGCCAATTGGTGACTGATTGGTGCCAGTTTAACAATCGGTAAACAATTAGCCATCTGTCATCTATATTGGAAGTTGACCGATTGGTTGCCGATTGGATATTGTTGACCATCAGTTATCAATCAGCTATCAGCAGGTCGAATTATTGTCAATCGGGTACCAATCAGGCATATGTCCGATTGATACAGATTACAGATATTTGCGAAATAATGGACTACTTACAGCTATTTGCGAAAATAATGGACCACCTAATTCATTTTTCGACTGCGTATGAAATTTTCATACGCAGTCATATGCATGGTAATATCTTCCTGAACTGTCAAACTCATTTTTTGAATTTTTCATATGCAGTCATCCGCAGTTATATCACAATAATTCTCACAGGTAAAACGCTGACCAATCGGGTATCTACCCGATTGGTAACTTTTTTTTTGATCGGTCACCTGATTTATTCAATAGTTAGAAATTGGTGTACACTTCAATCGGGTATCAATCAGGTTAATACCTGATTGATAACTATCTTTTAGTTTAAATTTACCGATTGCTTTCTTTAAAACAAATAGTGACCGATTGTTAGTAATTTATAAATTTAAAACAAATTGTAATCCGATTGTTAGTAAATTATAAATTTATTTTTATTTTAAACATAAATGAACTCTGTTTTATTACAAATGAAATTGTCTATTAATTGGTATGACTGCCATATAAGTAGTTGGATTTCGTGTGCCAACTGTAAATTTGCTAGGTAAGAATCGACTGTATATGTTATGAATCGGCATGATGGCATTTCTAGATAATTCGTGGAAATCATATTTCCACAATTCAACGTTGCAACTTTTATCATCCCAATTGCCGATTCTGCAATGAAACCTTGTTTTCTCATTTGGTGCTTATAAATACCAGTTGACAAAAGCGAGCTGATGCATCTTAGAACCGATTGGCAGCTGAACTGTATGCTCGAAATAATACTGAACATGACCAGGGTAAATGTCTATGGACTCATTGTCCTGTATAAATTTGGCCAGAATATATGAACTTCTTTGATATTAGGGTGCACTTTTTGACCCAAAAATTTTGGCAGCAATCCGAATACGACCAAACTGGGTTACGATTGGTAATACAACGATTGATTGATTGGAATCTCCTGACGATAAATCACTTGAAGCTAAATCAGCAATTGATGTAAAATTCTAATCGTATATATCATTATAATATTTCACCAATAGTTCATATGTGGCATTTGGTAACGATACTCGATTTCTTGGAGTAAGCATCTCTCCTGGAAATTCTTCGCTACCAGTAGTAATCGTGTTATCAATATTTTGATGAAAATTTTGCATAAAATGGTAAAGTTCATTAAAATCAAACCCATCATAAGCTGCTAAACTTCCAGTTGTTAATCGAGATTGAACCAAAGGTAATGCATTCATCAATTTTGCATTATCCGATTGGGCAGATATTAAGCTGTCTAACCGCGAATTTTGCACGATGATTTGCAACAATTCTAATTCAATAGTACATTTACTATTAGGAAGGGAACCTATTTAAACAATAAGTTTATCCATTACCAATTTGCCAATTAGAAATTTTGATTTTCAACAATCAACGTGTTTTACCTAATACGCCATTCATTCGTTCAAATGAATAATACCAGAATGAATAAAGCGGTCCATAATCTTGGCAACATTCAACGATGTGGAGAGATAAATGGATATTTGGAGTTATTTTCTCCTGTCCGTAATTTTCCTCAATTAAACGAGCTACTTGGTGCAGTCTGTAATGATCTTTTAGCATTGCGCTTTTGTTAACAATTCGACAAACAAGCAAAGTACAGGCTCTTACAAAATTTGCTAAAATTTTCCGATCAGCCTCGTCCAAAAGATCCCACATAATCGGTGTTGCATAAATCATAATAAACGACCTCCATTGATCAGCTGTATATCCAGAAAATCCTTCTCCAGTTGCTATTTTAGAAGGTATTCTTCCTAAATCAACCAGAACTTGGATCTTTTTTGCTCTTTTTTCCATCAATTTAAGATAGGTTTTTGTTATTTTTCCGCCATCTATTCACAACCTTTTTACGATCCAATGCGCGATTCCCAAAAATAAATTATGCATTGGATCAACCACAAGAAATCTGATCAGGTTGAAATACGGCAATCTTAACAACTCTGACCAACGTACGTGAGTTTCGGAAACATGTTTTTTTTTCGTACTTAGATTTACACAACCGCCAACGTTTGGCATTGTGTCAATGTTCATTTAGATCTTTTTGCACGAACCACTCGGTCATGTCATTAAACCCTCCGTAATTAAGCTTTCTTCTGTTGATGTTAGCTATTTTATAGCATCGATGGCAGCCAACTAATGCTGAAATATGACCGCATAATTTTCTAGCAGCCGGTATGTCATTGCTGCAGCAAATTACCACCATCCGGATTCTTTTACCAGTTGAATGCAAATTGGTAGAAGGTAAATCAACACCATCCCAGAATTCTAACAATTCGTCAACAATTGGACTAAGATAATGATTTATCTTGTGTAATTTTACCTCTTCCGGTCCTGATAGAAGTCCAAGATATAGCATATTTTCTTGTTTAAATCTAATATCACAGGGAAGATTACATATGACTCCATAGATAACACCAGAGCTGTAAGCTAACGAATTAAATGGTTGGAACCAGTCTAAATTAATCATGATCCTAAGATTAGAATCGGCTGTCTCATTTGTAAAAAATCGAGTATCTGGGTTGTCTAGGGAAGACGGAAATGTTTTCCATACTTCTCCATCATAAATATCGGTATATAAATTTGCTATATTAACCCGATTTGTCCATTTTTAAAGTAACTCTACAAAACCCGGGCGCTGATACATCGATATTATTTGGGTCTTTAGAGAAGGTACCGGAAATAATATTTTAGGTTTTCTGGCAAATCCCTTAACTATCGGGACCTTATTTGTTAATTTTGCTCCGCAAGCTTGTCTTTTGCTATGCTTTGGATGATTCAGAAACTCCACATGGGTACATCTGAACTCTACATTTTGATTTTGTGTCAAAATTTCCGAAACTTTATACAAAGTATTACAATCTGGACATACTGCGTATGTCTTTTCTTGCTTAACAATCTTTAAAAGTTTTTTCGCCAAATAAGATGATGTAGGAAATCTTTCAAATCATCATTTATCAGCATCTGATAAAACTATCTTAAAAAATTTAATAAGTTTATCGATGGCGACATCAGGAAGATGAAATCTCACCTGATATTTGAATATCCACAAAAGTATCCACGAATCGTTAAGTCAATGTTTGTGTCAAGATTTCTAAGATCTGATTCATAATCATAGTCATCAAAATCAGGAGCTGTAAATTGTTCGATCGGAACTTTATCTTCACTTAAACCACAGTCATCATCTCCAGATACCTCAGAAGCCTCATCATCATCTTCTGTCAAGGATTCGTTATCGTCACTTTCTGTTAAAGACCTGTCGGTCAAAGAACTATCACTATCGTCGTCATCAGGAATCATATCGTCAATCTTATTGGTACGCTTTCGTCTTCCTGGTCTCTCTGGCATTGGTTCATTATCGCTTAGAGGTGATTCATCATTATCATCTGATGAATATTCTACCACTCTAATTCTTCTTTTTCCTCTTTTATCGGGAGATTCATCACCATCATCACCATCATCATCATCATCGCCAACATCATCATCTGATGTATTCTCTACCACTCTAATTCTTTTTTTTCCTTTTTCATCTGGAGATGATTCTACACTATACAGTTCGTTCCTGGTATCTTTTAGTTTTGAAGAACTCTGAGATCCAGAAGCAATTGTTTGAAGTCGGTTAACTTCTTCTTGATGTCTTCTGAATGTTCTGGGATCCACTAACTTACCACCACCACAATGCAACAAACAATTGCATTCGACAAATTTTCTAGTTTTAGGTGCACTAT